AGAGAGAGAGAGAGAGAGAGAGAGAGAGAGAGAGAGAGAGAGAGAGAAATGGAAAATCCAGCTGGAGAGATGGCTCAGTGGATAAGAGCATTGACTGCTCTTCCAGAGGTCCTGAGTTCAATTCCCAGCAACCACATGGTGGTCCACAATCATCTGCAATGGGATCTGGTGCCCTCTTCTGGTATATTTAAATAAATAAACCTAACGAATAGAATACTTGCTGTCAAGATTCCTTGACTGACTCAGGACCCTCTGGGGGTTTCTTCCTTTGTGACTCACCTTCTGGTGATGAAGCCATGAAACCAAAGAGGGGCAGTCTGGAGCAAGAGCCAGTGAGCCTGGGTCTTCTGGACCCATGCTCTGGTTTCGGCTTGCAATGACAGGTCACCTTTCCCAGGCACCTCTTCTGCCTTGTCCGCATTCCCTAGGACCCAGGCAGCTCCCGGGGCTGAGGCAGAGTCCTGGGCATGAGAGAAGTCAGGGACAGAAGCGGCCACAATTAGAGACTTCTCCTGACCCCAGGCTGTCTCCTTCTTATCCTCACTCCAGCCCGTCTCTTCTGGGTGAGAGTCTAGAAAATCCTTTCCAAGGCCACGGTCTTAAATTCCTTCTGCATCTTCTATACTGGCCCCAGAGGGCAGGAGATGATACAGGAAGTCACTCCAAGCCAGGGGAGGGTGGCTTCCTCTCTAGTAAAGAAGACTGAGCTACCTAGTGGGTGGGAGGAAAAGGGACTGAAATAAGATCTGGAATGCTCTGGGAAAATGGAGGTGCTGACACAGCATGCAGACAGCTGCATTTGGTATCAGTGTACGGTGTCCCGGTCCCCTAATGACTGGGCCTGAGATTTTTCAGGGCCAGAGGAACTGAGGGCAAGTTGGGTAGCTGTGCATGGGAGGAAGGCATTCCTCACTTCTTGCTTCCTGTCCCCAGCTAGCCATTTATTCCTGCAGGCTTTCATTTTGACATGGGTTCATGTGCATACCCTCATCCTCAAGAGGATGGCTATGGATGAGGCAGCTGTATCCACCCAGGTTTCTACTCACCATTGTGTGGGTGGCCCTGGGGCTGAGCTGAACCCCCTGTGCCTTCAGAGCTCGCATGCTGGGCTTGCCACCACAACCCAAGTCCTGGCATCTCCCTTGGGTCAGGTTCATGGGCTGGAAGGTGCTGAAGGTTGAGGAAGTGGCTTCATGATTCCCTGTGGGCACAAGGGAGGTTGCCGGGGGTTTTCCAGAGACAGATCACCTCTTTCCCTCCCTTCTAGACCTCAGGCTCTTAAACATCTCTGAAGGAGCTGTCCCCGACAGGGACAGTCATGAGGATGGGAGAAGTGTAAGTGTGACCAGGGGGTAGCGGGTGGGGACCCCAGGAATAGGAATAGGAGTTAAGGTGTTTCAAAGGGACTGGTGGCAACGGAAGGGTTGTCAGTAAAACAAGAACCCTGGGGACTAGGCTGAACCTGTGAGGCCCGGAAGCCCTGTAGAGAGGTATATCCCTCAGACCAGGCCTCTCCTTAATTGAGACTCTTCTGCCTGCCATCTTTCAACCCTCTTGTTCCAATCTCCTAAAAACCTCTCAGGATCCTGTTCCCTGCCCTGAGGGACACAGAGACATGGAGCGCAGAGACACTATGGCAGCTCTGGCTTGGGTCAACTGCTTAACTGCAAAGTGGGAAGTCAGGCTCAGGAAGGGAGTAGGGAGAGAACTTTGCACGTACCTTGGGGGCATGTCTGGGCCAAGCAGAACTCCATAGAAGCAGGCGTGTGTGCTCTCGAAAGATGTGCACACTTGGCAGCGGTTCATCTCTCCTCTCTCTCCTTCCCCCAGGGACAGGAAATGTCGCTTTACCCACCGCCTTTGTCTCGAAAAGGACCCACGTCATGGAAAGTACAGTAAGACAACAGTCTCACCTCTGGAAGCCAGGCACCTGGGGTAGTGGTGGTGGGTTACTCTGTTAGGTGTGAGGTGTTCTTGCTATCTGACCTTTGTCCCCTCTCCAAAAGCATTTTAAGGCTTCTCAGAGATTCATATGCAGAAGTTTGCTTTGAGGAGACACATGAGGAAGAGTGGGGCAAAGCTGCAGCAGGAAGGATGTGGGTTAGACCTCTGGAAAGACTTTTATGTATATATGTATATGTGTCTGTGCTTGTTCAACATATGTGTTATACCACAGGTGCTCTTGCCTATGTGTCTAGCAAGGGAACTAAAGGTTGAGGCGAGTGGCTTCCCCCACCATTCTCCTCCTTATTGAGACAGGGTCTTTCATGGAGCCTTGGGCTCATAATTTCAGTTAGACTGTTAGACTGGCAGGTCAGCTAACCCCTGGGATTCACCTATCTCCTCTTAAACCAGCTCTGGGGCCACAGACATGTGCTTGGTTTTTAAGTGCATACTGAGGCTCCCAGCTTGTACAGCATGAACTTTGCCCATGAAGCCATTGCTCCAGCTGCTGGTGGACTGTTTTAGCTATGTGGGACCCATGGGACCCTGAGTTAGAGAGGAAGGGCCTGATGTCTGTCTTTCAGCAGATTATGGATTTCAGCAGATTAGGGCAACACTAAGTAACCTTAGGGGATTCTCTAACTAAACAAGTTACTGCTAGAAATGGCAGGATTGGCTGTTGTGGTCCATTCTGAGCCATCTTACAGCTTTGTCTGTTGTGTGCTTCCAAGCAAGTAGTTGCTCTTTTAGGAGGCTGTGGGGCTTGTAAGAGGTAGAACTTGCGTGCCAGAGGCAGGGTACAATGGGCAGGTGGCATCTGCTGCATCTTTTGTCATCTAACCAGAAAACCAATTCTATGACCCACATCATTGTATTTAACATTGCTTAGAAATGCAAAGGATAGCATATCTTTTTATCCCAGGCCCAGCACTCAGAAGGCAGAGGCAGGGGGATCTCTGCGTTTGAGGGCAGCCTGGTAGACAGATTGAGTTCTAGCACAGGTAGGGCTACATAGGAAAAAACATTGCTTGGGAAAACAAACGAAGAAACAACAAATAAGACCACAGCTGGAATATCACAATAGCCAACATCGGACATAGCTGTGGTGATAAAGACATCCTGGTGCTGGCATGAAAGGAGAGGTTAGGCTAGGGCAAGAGAGCAGAGACCACGCATACAAGCCCACAGAGCTGTATGCCCTTAATTTTTGACAAAGGAGACAAAAGCATGTAGGCATAAATTTTTCTCAACCCACTTTAATAAGCATTCAACTTCCTCTTTAGCCCACACCCACCAGAGGTAATGGAAAAGAAAAGTTATTAGGACACAGGGGAAAGTGGGCCTGTTTAGAAATAGGTCTTTGGGGGTGATTCCAATCTTCACTGTGAGGATATCAGCAGTCCAGTCCAGTAGCAAACACCAAACAGGAATCAGCAGCTGCAGTCCAGTCCGCTCAGCAATCACCACACCCGAATCAGCAACTGAAGTTCAATCCAGAAGAATTCGCAAGGATCGCCAACCTGCCCAAGGCTGAAGAAACGGCAGGAAGCTGCCGGAACCTCACGACAGGTTCTTTGGCGAGTTTCTCTCTATGGAGTCACCACAGGCAGAGCTCCGTGCATGTTGTCAGCAAAGAATAGCGAGGCAGAGCAAAGCGAACCAATGCTCAAGCCACCACTGAGTGTGGGGTCATATTTATATTCCTTTATCACACATCCTTTCACGTGTCTGCTATAGCAAAAAATCCTTTCACCTGTGTCTGCTTCAGCAAAACATTCTTTCACATGTTTGTTTAGCAAAAAATCCTTTCACCTGTGTGCCCAAGCAAACCATCGTTTGACATCACTGACTTTCCAAAGAAACCAGAAGTTTCCACTTTAAAAGCATGAAGTGAAAAGAATCCTGTGCAACAAATGTGCTGGCAAAATTAGATATCCACATGCAAAATAATAAAATTAGATTTACATCTTTCCTTTTGAACAAAAATCAATTCAAACTGGATCCAAGACCTTAATTTAAAAATGGAAACTTCTAGAAGAAAACAGAAGGAATACTCTGCAAGACATTGGGGTAGGCAAGAACTTTCTGAACAGAATACCAAGGTTACAGGAACTAGTCCTGAGTATTAAAGATGGCACAACACGAAGATAAAAGTTTCTGTACAGTAAGAGGAATTACCAGAAGCTGGGCATGGCTTCACCCAGCCCTTGAGGAACACACAGATCTCTATGAGATCAAGGCCAGCCTAGTTTACATATAGAGACCTTGTCTCAAAAACTCAAAACAAAAATCAAATCAAATCAAAACAAGACAAAACAAAACCCCCAAGAGACTTGTATATCTAGATTCACAATGAAGTACAGAAATTAAATATCAAGGAAAGAAAATTACCCATCAACAAATGGGCAGTAAGTTGACTAGAGAGTTTTCAGAAGAAATACAATGGACAATAACTGTTTTTAAAGGTATTCAACATCCCTAGTCATCAGGGAAATGCAATTTAAAACTACTCTGAGATATCTCCTGGCCCCAGTCAGAATGGTTGTCATCAAGAACTCAGGCAACAAATGTTGGCAAGGGCATGGAGAGAAAGGAACGCTTACTCACTGTTGGTAGGACTACAAATTAATACAGTCATTGTGGGAATCAGTTTGGAGAGTCTTCAAATAATTAAAGACAGAGCTCCCGTGTGACTCGGCTATTTCACTGGGCATACACCCACAGGGTGCCATCCCCTGCCGTACAGATATTAGCACCCTCATGTTCATTGCTGCTTTCTTCACTGTTGCAAGGAAATGGGATAACCAAGATGTCTACCAGCAGATGAATGAATAATGAAAATCTGGTATGCATGTAAAATGTAATATTATTCAGTGACAAAGAAAGATTAAATCACAGAATTGTTAGGAAATTAGATGGACTTAGAATATACAATGTTAAGTGTGGAAAGGGGATCAGAATGTTCTCCCTCATATGACTATGATGCATGCACATATAGGTAACAGCTGCAACTGTGGGTTTGCCGTAACAGTTATAAAGGGGACAAATGTTGGCCAATGGGGCCCCATGGAAACCCCCTGTGATGGCTTGTATATGCTCGGCCCAGGGAATGGCACTATTAGGAGGTGTGGTCTTGTTGGAGTAGGTGTGTCACTGAGGGCGTGGGCTTTGATACCCTCATCCTAGCTGCCTGGAAGTCAGTCTTCTCCTGTTTGCCTTCGGAACAAGATATAGAACTCTCAGCTCCTCCTGTGCCATGCCTGCCTGGATGCTGCCATGTTCCTGCCTTGATGATAATGGACTGAACCTCTGAACCTGTAAGCCAGCCCCAATTAAATGTTGTTCTTTATAAGAGTTGCCTTGGTCATGGTGCCTGTTCATAGCAGTAAAACCCGAACTAAGACACCTCCAAACATCACAGACTACTGCTAAATCTATTGGTTGTTCTCTACCAATAGATGGTAAGGCTCTGTCACTGAAGACAACAATTATTTCTGGCATTAAACATGGAGAAGTTGATTGGATGCCCAAGTAGAAGCTGTACCCCTATTGACTTTCAGGCACAATACTAGAATATACTTTGCATGCTAGCGGAGGAAAAAGGCCGTCATCATTGTCAACCAGCTACAAACCCTGTGACCTTCAGTAGTGCCCTGCCTGTAGATATATTGGTGTTTTTTGTAGTGATTAAGTACATAAAAATGTAATTGGCAGCCAATGTCTAAAATCATGAGCAAAGCTCCACAGTTTCAGAACGGCCATTCTAATTGCATAGAAAATCTATCTGCAATTGATATCTCAGTAGAAACATGCCTGCAAGATATTCTGGTGGACTCGTGGCACAAATGTTATGGGAGTAGCCAGTTACTTTCTGATTGGATTTAAGGTTCACTCCATGAGATGGAATTTATACCTGGTTTATAGCATTTGGGATTGGGCAAGTGTTTATTTGAGTGGTTACTTTTGCAGTGTGATCTTTTTGTTTGTGAGTTCATTACTGTATAATGATTCTATTTTATTTTTTAAAAAGGAAAGCTGAGCCAGGTATGGCAATGCATGCCTTTGATCGCAGCATTTGGAAGGAAGAGGCAGGCAGATCTCTGATTCGAGGTTAGCCTAGTCTTCCACAGAGTAAATTCCAGGACAGCCAGTGCTATACAAAGAAAACTTGAATCAAAAAACCAAGACCAAACTAAACCAAACCACACTGAGAGAGAGAGAGAGAGAGAGAGAGAGAGAGAGAGAGAGAGAGAGAGAGAAAGGAAGGAAGGAAGAAAAAAAGAAAGAAAAAGGTGACACAGAGAAATCAGCTTCACACATGGAGTGTGAAGACTGTCATTTTGAAGACTTCAGTTTGTGAAGTTGTGGCTACAAAACTAACCAAACAAAACAGAGTGAGGTGGGAGGCTCTGATCAGTGTGGTAGAGAGTCCAGGACCAGGTATTTTCTTTGGAAATAATGAGTCAAACAATATTGAGGGGGCTGTGGATGTGGGCGTAATTGGTAGTGTGCTTAGCTAGTATCCATGATGTCTTAGGTTTCATCTCCAGCACTACATAAACCAGGGATGATGTAAACGGAAAACTGGGCCAGCCATGCCTTTAATCCCAGCACTTAGGAAGTAGAAGCAGGGGATCAGAAATTCAAGGTCATCCTTGGGCTACAGGACAAGTTCCAGGCCATACTAGGATATCTGAGACTCTGCCTTGCAGAAAAGACTCTTGTAGCCTGTAAACTGCAATGAACACCCCTCCCTCAAAGAACACAAGGTTCTAAAGCAAAGTACAAGCTTTATGTTCAGCACAGTCGATCCTTGACCCTTGCTTCAATTTTCAATTTAAATTTGTTCTGTTAAAAACTAAAAGACATTCTCACTAGGCACAGTGGACACACCTTTAGTCCAGAGGCAGGATCTCTGTGAATTTGAGGTTAGCCCGATCTACACAGCAAGTTCCAGAACAGCCAGAGCTACTTAGGCTGTCTCAGAAGCCCTGTCTCAGAAAATTTTTTGGTTTTGTTTTTAAAGATAACCTTAAGCCGGGCGGTGGTGGCGCACGCCTTTAATCCCAGCACTTGGGAGGCAGAGGCAGGTGGATTTCTGAGTTCGAGGCCAGCCTGG